TGTAGTATTTTGTTCCTGTATTATTTTCCTGAATTCTTCCATTTTTTTGTGTGTATTTTCCATGTATTTGCTTTTTCCACGAATTTATCTATTTTTTCCTCATTTTTGTCTGCTTTTTGCTTCAACTCTTGGATAGATCTGAATATTAGAGATTTGAATTTCCTATCAGTTAGGTCTAGTACCTTTTCTTCTACTGGAAAGTCATCTGGTGTTTTCTTTTGGATGCCTACTAGAACCGTCCTGCCCTGTTTTTGTATATATTTTTATATTATCTGCTGTCTTCAGGACATCCAGTAGTTATTTTCCTCGTTTATTGATTGTAGATTTGTTTGTTTTGTCTTTCTTTTTTGTTTTATTTGGTTATTCTGAGCAGGCAGGCTGTGCATTCTTTGTTGTTTGCTTGGTTGTAGGCGTGATACTTTGCACCTCCTTCTCCAATGGGTAGGGTCAGTCACTCACGTATGGTATAACAGGGCAGGTCCGGCTGAAGGAGAGTTGCTGGGATGGGTTGTTTGTGGCACATACTAGGGCCAACAGGGCGGGCCAGGAATCAGTGCAGGGCAGGTTCTGGTAGGCCATGCCTATGCTGCTCTGGGGTGTGATATTCAGCACACGGTGCAAGTAGGCAGGAAGGACGGGGGAGATTGTGATGTGTAGAGCTAAGATGGGTATGGGAAAGAGGAGAGAGGAACAGGAGCCAAAAACATAGAAACAAACAAAAAAGAGTGCTAGGGAAGCTTGCCATTGGAGTCAAGAGATGAGAGACTGAGAAATGGAAAAAAAGGAAGAAAAAAATGAATAAATAAATATTTGAAGAAGAAAAAAGCCCCCAGAGATCCCACTGTAGCAGCTGCGAGGACTGGGGAAGTTGCTCCCAGACTGTGAAGTACAGCCTGGCTAGAACGGGTATAGGTGTCACGTAGCGCCAGGTATTCAGGAGACAGGAGGAGAAGATAAGTATAGAGAGACGAGAAACTAAGAAATGAAGAAAACAAAAAAGGAGAAAGAAAATAAAGCAAAAAAACAAAGCCAAGAAAAAAATGCCCCCAGCGGTCCCACTGTGCATCTGTGCAGAGTAAGAGAGTAGCTCTCAAGCTGCACAGTACTGCCCAGCTAGAAGGTGCTTCCAAGCTGAGAAAAGAAAAAGAAAACAAACAAACAAATCAAAACAGAACAAATGAGAGCAAACAAAGCAAGCCCCGGGGGTCCCACCAGCATGGCGGCACGGGTCAGGAAGCAGTTTCAGAGTCGAGTGGTGTTTCGCAGCCTTTCAGGAACTTTCAAAGATTGCATAGGAAGCCAGGTATTTGAGAGAAAGGAGGGGGACGTGGTGAGAGGTAAGGAAGAAATTAAAAGAAGCATAAAAAAGCAACATGAGCAGCCAACAAATGGCACTCAGGGAGCCAGCCAGTGCGGGCATGTGGAATCCATGCGGCACCAGGGTGAAGCCGGTGCCTCCTGGCCAAGAGACTGTGGCAGCAGGAAGCAGAGGAAGCCTAGTGGGGTGAAGAAGGGTGGGGGGTGGGAAGGTGTATATCGCTGGTTACCAGTTGTTCTGTCTCCTGCTGGAAGCTCCCTGAATCTGCTTTCTCATGCCCCCTGTTCGCCGATCTCTGATAGGAGTCCAGGATGGCAGATCCATGCTGCATTAGCTAATAGTGGACCTCTGCATGTATCTCTCCTCCCTGTATGTTCTCTGTCAGTTTCTTATCCATTCGGTGCTTGGCAGAGTTCTTTATCTCTTCATTTGATGCTTAGGGTTTCAGGAGTGACGTGTCTCTCTATTTTTTTGTTTTTATTGTTGTAGTTTAAATGCAATTTACATTTCAAGTTAGTTTCCCATACAAAAATTCATACATACATTGTTATGTGACCCTAATTGCTCTCCACATACTGTGACAGCACACTCTTCCTTTCCACCCCTGATTTCCCATGTCCATTCAGTCAGCTCCTAATCCTTTTTGCCTTCCCATCTCACCTCCAGACAGAAGCTGCCCATTTAGTCTCTTGTATCTACTTGAGCTAAGAGGAACACGCCTCACGAGTATCACTTTATGGCCCACAGTCCAGTCCAATCCCTGTCTGAAGAGTTGGCCTCGGATATTGTTTTAGTTCTGGGCTGATAGAGAATCTGGGGGCCAAACTTTGCAGGGTTCCTCCAGTCTCAGTCAGACCATTAAGTCTGGTCCTCTTACTAGAATTTGAGTTCTGCACCCCACCTTTCTCCTGCTCCATCTGGGATTCTCTATCATGTTCCCTGTGAGGGCGGTCATTGGTGGTAGCCAGGCACCATCTAGTTCTTCTGGTCTCAGGCTGATGAAGTCTCTGGTTTATGTGGCCCTTTCTGTCTCTTGGGCTACTACTTTCCTTGTGTCTTTGGTGTTCTTCATCTTCCTTTACTCCAGGTAGGTTGGGACCAATTGATGCATCTTAGATGGCCGCTTGCGAGCTTTTAAGACCCCATATGCCACTCACCAAAGTAGGGTGCAGAACATTTTCTTAATAAGCGTTGTTATGCCGATTGACCTAGATGTCCCCTGAAAGTATATGTGTGTTTTTGTTTGACTTAGTTTTTCAGATCTTTGCTGTGGAGGGACAGCGTGGTGCTTCTGTCTATAGTGCCATGTTACCCAGAAGTCTTTTTATTTTATTTTATTTTATTTTTTTAAGAGATAAACCGAGGGCAAAGATGAAATTTTTTGGACAAAGTTAACGTGAACCCCACAGTTGGACATGAAGTATAAAATTATATTTAGCATATTCTGTTTACTAAGGAAAATGTTATATATTCTAGAAAGTTTTCTGTGCTTTAAAGGTTGGTGTGTGGAAATAAATATCAAATCTACTTTTTCCAAATACCAACTATGAGGCTATAACAAATCCCTACTTTACACTTCACTGTTCAGTTCTGACACCAGCTGCCCATGCAGCACTTGTTCCTCTGACCCTGTCCATCCGTATTGTTAGTTCAGGTCACATGTTAAAGGACACAGTCGTCCAGACTGCCAAGTAGGTCTAAGACTTCAGACGCCAGCCACAAGTTTGGGGTTCACATGATACCCTCACTTCTGACCTGCTGGCTACAAGTTCAAGGTTTTCCCATGCCTCCTTCAGGGTGCCATCCACAAGCTTGGAGGTCCCCCCTGGGCTGCCTTACTTTTGACCTGATGGCTATAAATTTAAGGGTTCTCTCTACGCTTTCAGGATACCAGCTGTTAAGCTCAGGGATTCCCAGCCCTTCTGACCTGTTAGTTCTCACTACTACCTCAGGTTCGATAATTTCACTAGAATGACTCACAGAACTCATGGAAAGCACCTTATTTGTGCTTATAGTTTTATTATAAAAGATGCAAGCACCTTATTTGTGCTTATAGTTTTATTATAAAAGATGCAAAGCAGGATCAGCGTAAGAAAAGATGCATAGGGTAAGATCTGGGAAGTTTCCCAACACAGAACTTCTACACCTCGAAGAGGGACGTGCTCCCCTTCCATGTGTATTCATGTCTTTCACCAGCCAGGAAGCCCATGGAGTTTCAGTGTCCAGAGCTTTTATTGGCGGTCTCATTATATAATACAGACTCCAGCCCCTGTCCTCTGAGATTGATTGATGTCACTAGGTGATCACGAGGTATCACATGGTGGGTCTTTCTGGCCTGGCCAACCCACACCCCAGAGTCACCTCATTACCTCACTAGCATAACCTGTTAGCCAGGTATAATGTGGAGTCCTTATCAGAGACACTTAAATTCCAGGGGTTGTTTTTTAGAGATTAAAAATTGAGGGCAAAGACCAATTCTTTGGACAAAGTTAATGTGAACTCCACAGTTGGACATTCAACTTTTGAGACACCTTAATTATTTGGAATACTACATTTGGATAACCAAGTTATTACTGTATTAAACCACTTTTGATCAGGGCATCAAGCAAAGGAATTGCATCTGAATAACTGAAACTTTGTATTTCTATAAAATGCATTTTAATCCAGTGTATATTACACATCAAGCATTGAAATGAAAATTTTTAGTTTTGCCGAATCTAATGTACTGTTTTTGGTAACCAAATTTAGTTACCGAAATGCTAAAATATCTAGCCCTTTCCTATTAATGCTTAACAGCTTTTGTGTGTCCTGGTACAGAAAAGTCAAAATTTACAAGTACACAGGTGCCAAGGGAGTCAGCTACCTTTTGGCTTTCTAACTCAGAAAGAGCCCTGATTCTTCTGCTGTGGCACACAGCTACAATGAATAAGACAGAGTCATTCAGTCAGCCAGCATTTTTTGAGTACCTATGGTGATGGTTAATGTGTTAACTTGGCTAGGCTATTTTTTTTTCATCTTGCTTTTTTATTTTTAGAGTTTCATTATTCCCATTTTGATTTATTTTTGCTTGACTTAAAAATTTTTTTTTAAGGATTTGAGATAGCTGACAGTTGTGATTTATTTTAAATAACAACTAAGAGTCTTAGGCTTATAGAAACAATGTTAGTCGAGGAAATGTTAAGTTATTCAAGAAAATTTTTCTCAATTTTTCCTAAAATGACTGAGGGCATTGACTGTAACTTAAGGTTTCAGCTATCCCTGTATATTAACTGGAAACTCATAATCCCCAAGGCAGCCCTAAAAAGTGCAACACGCTACTACAACACACACTATTTCTACTTCTGGGATTTTATAATCTCAATATTTTCTAAGGCATTGGAACTATCACTTGAGCCTTGCATGAAACATTACACCTTATCCTACTACTTTTGGATACTGAGGGCCTCCATCATATACCTTTGACCTTTGTAGTGCCCAAGTATTTTTTGTGTATTTTTATTTAATATAAGTAAAATTATGTAAATTATATAATCTGGCTTAAACTCTGCAATTTAAAACTTTAAATCATTCTGTGGTTCTTGAAAGTCTGTTTTTGCCATAGCAGTAGCAAAATATAAAAATTGTAATTACCATGTGTCTTTGTATCCTAAAATGTATAATCCTGTGATTTGTTTTTTTTCAGAGGCTGATAAAATACCAGTAATGCGTGGACAGTGGTTTATTGATGGTACTTGGCAACCTCTAGAAGAAGAAGAAAGTAATTTAATTGAGCAAGAACATCTCAGCTGTTTTAGGGGTCAGCAAATGCAGGAAAATTTTGATCTTGAAGTGTCAAAACCCATAGATGGAAAAGAGGGTAAGATCAGTTAATGCATTCTTTAAACCAAGCATTTTGGTAATGTTTAAAGAGGTTTCTAAGACTGATACAGTAATTCAGAAGGGTTAGAATTTATACAATTGATTTTCTTTTTAATGTTTTGATTATTATTTTAGAATTAGAGTTATAAACTACTGTGAATTTCTGAAGTAACTTTTCTCAGTTTTATTAAGTAATATATATGTTCAGTGGCATGACACTAACACAATCTGCTATAAATGTATCAGTTGTTATAGTGTAGTCCCAAAGTAGTCCTTTTTAGTAGTTCCTATAGTTATCAAAGAAAATTGAACTTATCAAAAAAATCCCTTGCCACTGTAACAGAACAGCAGTTAACAATGTTTCAATATTGGTTCTTTTCCTGAAACTAAAACAAACTTTCAGTTACCTTTGTGTAAGTGCCTCTTACCTGTCTCCATATTGATAACCGTATCAATGTCTAATTAGAAACAGTCTCTTCCTTGCGTTTCCTTAATTCAGCATTTGAATATGTTTGCAGTAGTTAAAAACATTTTTACAATAGCCAAGATGGCTACATTTTCTGAATCTTGTGTAAAATTCAAAATGTATGGTAAAGTTAAAAACACTTCTGTTGTTCCATTTACTGCAGGCAGTGGGATCAACTATTCTGGTGAGTATAACAGTGCAGATAGATTAGAATTTATAGATTTCTCTAAAAATATTTTTTAAAAGTGTTTCTTCATCCATGCTTGCCTTTATTTGGGAGGTTTCTCGGCAAGTTCTTCTGAATCTAGTGAATTAAACTGCAAAGTAAGTTATTTTTTTCTTCTTATAAAATATCTCTTAAACAGAAAAAATCAATATCTATCAAGTAATTCACAGAATGTAGCTTAAAAAAATGAATTATGTAGTTGAGAGTAATTGTTTATACAGTAAAAACCTGTGAAAGCTGGAACCTGTGTAAGGCGGAAACATAGCAGAGACAGGAAACTCAGATCGTTTCCAGTAAAACGAGTGATAGAAAAGTGGTAAGACTGTACCCTGTAAAAGGTGGAAAACTTGCAAGACCCAGAAAAAAAGGCAATCCTGTCAAGTTCCAGCTCTCACATGTTTCATTGTGTAACACAATTAGTGGCAGAAGAATAATCTGTAGATTGCCTGGGTTTTTTTTTTTTCCCTATTAGTAACTACATTTTCCTTATTAGTAGCTACATCTTAAGTCTTTTTTCTCCCCCATTCTTCTCTCTTTCTTCTCTCTCTCTGAACAAACATATACACATTTGTTGCAAGCAGGGAAACTGTATAGTTTAATTTATACCAAATTAAAATATCTTTCATATCAGGTTCATTAAAAATTTACATGACTGAGGAAAGTTGTGGTTTCTGTATAAATTGGCAATTAAATTTAACAAAGTTATATAATAATAGTTGTCTGTTGTGTGCCAGATACCATATTCTAGGAATATTTAATATACTATCTAATTTTCCTAATCATTATTTTCTATTTCACTGTGAAATTCAACCTAAAGGTTCTTATATATCAATATATAAAGAACAGTTATGTATAATTGCTTTATAAGGGCTGTCTTCATTCCTGCAGATTACAATAGAAACAGTACTTTGTTCTTCTTCTTGATATATCCCTGGTCTTTTGTTAGTGACCTAAATATTTTGTAACCTCCCATCACCACTACCAGAATAATCTCAGAAGACTTTATTATAAATTAATTTCATTGCTATTTGAGAAGACTGAGCTCTAGATTTTTTCCCCTTCCATTAATTCTCCTTAAGTCTTCTGCCTCAAAAGTGGCAGTTCACCTTAACAAATCCAGTTTAGCCACTCCAATTCCTTACTATTAATGTATGAAAAAAGTCCAGGAGCGTGGAGAAGAAAAAGGATGAGTGTTAAAAATATAAGTAGATTGTTCTCATACTGTGTTCCAAACACTTTTTCCGCTTGGCTAATTCTTCCTGTGGAGGTTCGTCATCAGCTTTTTCATCTCTAGATCTCACCTGCTTGAAATGTTTCTATTACAAAAACAAAATTAGAATTTTATGTGTCTTTTTACTCCTACCTAACTGTTAGCCGTAGCAGAATACTTTTTCTTCAAAGTGTCTCATTTTATGAGCCAGTCATTTAAATGTCTAATGTAAGAACATAGGAGCCCTGGTGGCACAGTGGTTAAGAGCTTGGCTGCTAACCAAAAGTTCGGCAGTTCCAATCTGTCAGCTACTCCTTGGAAACCCTATGGCATAGTTCTACTCTGTCCTGTCCTGTAGGGTCGCTATGAGTCAGAATCAGCTCGACAGCAACAGGTTTGGTTTTTTAGTTTTAGTAAGAACATGATTTATTTGTGTGGGTAGATCTTTTTAGTATGTCTTTGTGTATGTGTGTCAATTCTAGGGTATTATTACATTTTTTATTAACTTTAAGGGTGGTAAAATTTTAATTAGTAATAACAGAAAATTGTCAAATTATTAAAGCACTTTTGCATTGTATTCTTTCAAAATTATGATTGATTCATTGAGGTTCATTGGAAGAAAAAAATTTTTGAAGCACTGCAGCATATAGGTAAAGCATCAATATGTTTTGTTATTAATAAAGAGTATAAATTTAATTCAGTATATACTGTTACAGATTTACAGACATTTTATTTGTTACACAGTATTATTGTAAATATACATTTATGTATTGAGATTTGACACCTGACACTGAAAAGTATGGGGAATTGTTCAGTACATTAGAAAATTATAACTAGCCCTAAGGAAAGAATTTTTGCTGTCTAACAAGTCACCATTATCAAGAAGACAACTCAAACTTATCACATATATAAAGATGAAAAATATAATCTTTTGGTTATTTTGCTTATTACCTCCAAGCTTCTGAAATTTCACATTTCATTAGTTTGAGAGGGAAAATACCTTTTCCACCTAAATTTTCTCACATATGTATGATGAAGCCTTGACTCCTCCTATTGTCAGGAGATTTTTAATGTTTTCATGTGCAGAGAGTACTGTGCTAGGCAATTTTGTGAAAGAAGTAGGAAAGGAAGAACAGAGGAGCAAAAAACAGATGGGACAAAGAGAAAATAAATGGGAAAATGATAGGCCTAAATCCTACCATATCAGTAATTACAGTGAATATAACTGTGTAAGACTTTAATACATAAAGGAACATCTTAATAAATGTTAACATTTAACAAATTAGCATTTCAATTGTATTTTGAATTCATGTGTACTTTTGCTAATACTATATAAAAATTTCTAGCTAAAGCTTAAAAAAGAAAAAATAAATAATGCTTTCTGGCACTTGAATTTCCTTTAACAGTGTTCCCTGTTTGATTAATGGTAGCACTTTTTTCCTCTACTATAGTTATGATAGTACCCCTAATTCTGTGGTTTGGATTGAGAATTCCTTAAATTTAAGCTCTGTAACTGTGCTACAGGATGTGTAATAAATAAAGCAAATAATTTTCAAGTGAAAATAATTAAATTTCAAGAGAAGGTAAAGAACCATGTCTATAGTTTTGTGAAAATGTATAAATAAACGTGCTTCTCTGTTTTTAGTATATTGGAGTGTTTGGCTTTTTTTAACCCTTAAATTATACTATGCCTTTAAAAAGAAAAACCTTCCATTTTTGTAACTTGACTAGCTTTCTGAAAGTGTGTGCATAATTTTAAAATGTGGTCGTGTGGTCCATATGTCCATATGTTTCCTATTAGTGATTTTTTTAGTAAATATGGCATCAGTCCATGTTAGTTTTACTACTAGATTTACAAAATCTAGCTTTTGTTTCTTTGAGTGGTAAAATTTCAAGTCTATGCCAATTTGATCTACTTTGATATGTTAGCAGCTTTTTCCTAATGAATTCTTTTTAAAAAAATGTTTCTTAATTTAAATGGTACACCTACTCCTCAGTAACTGACCAGAAGGCACATGAAAGAAGAAACATTTTCAGTGAAGAAAATTGCTTCAGTTGTTATTTTCCACCTCTGTGTGCATTGAAATGTTTTTGTAATCCTGATGTAGAAACTCAGCTTTTAGTCATAGTCTATAGTCTTTTCTAGCTGTCTGATTACATATAGGTATAGTTATTTTAAAGTGCCTTGTAAGCATTTTCAAATCACTTTATTACACAAGTCTTTGTATATAATTCATCTGTATATACAAAAGATTTGTTATATCTCTACTACTGTACAGTAGGAACTAAGTCTTTTCGTATTTGAGCAGTATTTAACCTTTGAATGTCACATTCATATAGAAGGGAGTGAGGATGAAAATCAAACATACTAGAACATAAATTTGAACTAAATCATAAAGCTTCTGTAGTTCATTGGGAAATTCACTTGTAAGGTTCTATTTCAAGTAGATTTTTAAATAGTTCCTTACTTAAAATTGTAAAGAAAGTTACTGATGTATAACTAGTAAAATTTGACAGGCAAAATGTTGACTTTAAGGTTATCTACTGATTTGCCAAATATCAAGTCTATGCCAGGCTTTGTGTTGTCTGTTTCATGCTTAAAAGATGTCACAGCATACATTTTTACTAATGACATTTTTCCATTATTTTATCATTAATAGATCTTCAGTTAACAGTAGAACTTCTTTTTTTTTTAGTTGAGATTTCATTTTTTAAAAGTCTTTTAACAGCTTGAACAGAGTTGTTAAAAGAATATTTTATTTCTTTGGGAACAAGGGCTCCATTATACTTCAGTAATAAAAAAGCATCCAGCAGAATGTATGCTGTGGTATCTGTCGTCTCAAGAAAGCTGTATTAGATGTTTAAAATGTTGTTTATTGCATTCTTGATTGGTACATCAGATGCTGACTATGTTGTAGTCCCGAATTTGGTGTGAGTAAATAACCTTATTATTGTAAAGATAGGGTTTATAAATCTCTTTAAGTGCTCAAAACTGGCCGTGTTTTTTTTTCCTATCTGTGCAAAGACATTAAATGTGATAATCTTTAACAGATAAATTTAGATATCATTTGCCTTTTTTTCTTTCAGTAAAAGTAGAGCATATATTTGATAAACATTCAAATGTTTTACTAAAAAAATATTTTGCTAAAAATGTTTCGCTTACTGATTTTTAATTAGAGATTACATAAATAAAGCATTTAGAATAATGTTTGTCAAATACAACTCATTTTTTAAAGTTAATACTGCAACAAAAAGGCAAAGTGACAAACCTCATTTAAAATTTACTTTGAAGCTCAGTGTTTTTGCTCTCTTAGTTGTCTACCACCTCCCTCCCTTCTCCCTCCCTTCTTTGTTCAAATGGAGAGGATATAAGGAGAGTACAGATGCGACAGGTCTTAAAAGAAAGCGTTCCCAAGGTACAGTAATTGTAGTTTTAGTTCTCCATATACTTATATTTCTGGCTTATAGCAGTCAGTTGTTTTGCTGTTAAATGTATTAAGACTATGTTTAAGTCATAGAGATTATTAGTTTTTTTTAACGTATCCATTATGCTATGTTGCTTAGTGTTACTTAACTATAACTGTTTATAAACATTCATAAATATTATGTACCTTAAACAGTATATATTGTAGTGGATGATTTAAGGAGGAACAAAATTTTGTTGACTACTCTCTAAATATCTTGGTCTTGTAATTTCAGTGAACTAATTGTAGTTCAGCAACAATTAAACATGCTGCTCAAAACTATTACCAAAATGTGGTTTAGAAACATTGGTTTAAAATAAAAACAATGTCTTGCATCACACATGGAATTAGGAAGGTAAAATAATTTTAAACTCTTGCAAAAGATTTAAAAATTTATGAAAAGTTCATTTATTTTTAAAAAGCTGAGTTTGTACATTGTTTTCTTTGGAACTGGAGATCTTATTAATTTTGTCATGTTAATTGCTTCTTGGTCTTATGTTCAATGTTAGTAATGTACCCTGCAGGTAAGTAAAATATGAGTTGATTTTTTCATAAATTTTTGAAATTGCATTTGTAATATAATGAAGAAATAGTACATTTTCCCATAAAGGGTTTACTTGTCTGTGTATTTTGGTAGGGATACTAAGTTTTATATAAAAGCGTCTCTATGGTCTTAGATCTTGACTAGAGCCATATCCTTTTATGTATTTAGCTTGAGGTTATTTTCAACCTATTTTTTAATTTTCTAGAGGAAAGTTCATTCATTTTCATATCCGAAAAGTTAGACTGTGGTATAATTCTGCCAGTAACTAGCTTTGTGAGAAGTCACTTAATCTCTGTATCTTTAGATATAAACTGGGGGAGGGGTAATATTTGCCTTAAGAGGATCTTAAGAAAAATCCAGCATAGTGATTTGAAGGTGTCTGGTTTTCTGAAGATGGGTATGTGAATTTTTCTTACCTGTATACCAGAAATATAGAGGAAAAGTTAAAAGCATTCAGAATACAAAAACAATCAAATTATGAACTGGTGAATGGCAGTTTTCTCAATTCATTGCTTCCACAAACATTATTATTGAATGCTATGCTGTTTGCTAGGCATTGTGCTGGGGTGCTGTTTTTGGTGCTAAGAATAGAAAAACAATTAAGACACAGCCCCTGCCCTCAAGGAGCTTATGTATTCCTAAGTATACAGGTTTGATTTTTTTTAAGAGCTCCTTTTCATAAAGCATACCTCACAGCCTCAGTAACAGAAATGAATAACCATACTGATTTGATTATCATGGTAGAAAAAAGGTTCTTTAATTTCTTATTAAAACATCTTTTAAGGTTGGATTTCTGCTGTGGTGAGCAATACCCAGTAATAATTGGCTTTAATATCCATTCCAAAAATGCCTTATATTCTAATAAACTGGATTGTTCTCTTCCTAGTTTAAAGGTAATTTTTTCCCTCTAAGTCTTATTTTGTCTTGAAGTGAGCAGAATTTCCACAACTGTTTCAATATATTTAGTAAAATGAACGGAAGAATGGAACTTAAGTATCAAAGCTATTGAGAACCATCAAGTAGTTTATATCCCTTAAACCTAAGAAATGGTCGAATCACCTAGGAAAGCAGTTCTTTAATAATCAATACGGATATTAACTGTGTGTTACAGGTTAAAATTATGGTAGTTAATCCGGTCATGTAGATAAGTACTGGTAATTTACAGTCACTCGATGTTATTTTAATAAGTTGTCATTCCCTGTAGCATGGTTAATCATTTATAAAGTCCCTATCCATTACTTGCTTCACATAAATATGTTTCAATGAAATAGTTTTCTGTTGAACTGAGTTAAATACCTAAGTTGGTTTAGATAATATTGATTCAAGAATTTGTGTATTGTAATTTTCTACACAAATGAAGTTTGTCTTGGAAACCTTCAGCTTAGTTTTTCCTTTTTGTAACAGCTATTCATAGTTTCAAGTTGAGTCGAAACCATGTGGACTGGCACAGTGTTGACGAAGTGTATCTTTATAGTGATGCAACAACATCTAAAATTGCAAGAACGGTTACTCAAAAACTGGGGTTTTCTAAAGGTAATCATTATATATTATTGTAGTTGTCAAAATTTTGGGAATCTGACTTTTGTCTTACACATGCAAAATAGACTATACAAATTCCATTTTTAGTATATTTTAAATATGTATTAAATTTACTAAAAGTTACTATCCTGTTAAGTGAAACTTTGATTAAGGTGATTGAGTTGACATGTATTCCTCAATGAATAATTAGGCGTTTAGAATAATCTGACAAGATTAGTAAATACTTTTTCTACCTCTAAAAGCACAAAATCAGTCAAACTGAAGCAGTGATATGAAAATAAAACATGGCAATTCAAACATAGAGTCAAGGAAGAAAAAGACTAAAAATTTCCCATTGGATCTGGAGGTCATTGGTGACTTTAAATGTGTTGATGTAGCAGAAGCCAGACTGGCATGGGTTGAAGCTTAAGTAGAGGGTGAGGAAATGGAGGCAGTTAGAATAGACAACTCTTTAAAGAAGTTTGACTAAAAGAAAAGAGAGGGAGGATGGTACGTGGGGAAGATGTGAGAGCATTATAAAAAAAATTTTTTTTTTAATTTGTATTATGTCTGATATAATTTTTTTACTATCCCATTTTTATTTTAATTTCTTTGATAACCAATGTGCTTGAATATCTTTTATATATTTATTGGTTATATTTTTTATTTTGTGAATGGTCTGATCATATCTTGAATCCACTTTGCTATATGAATGGTTATCTTTTTACTTTTTGATTAGGAAGCTCTCTTTGAATGTGTAGTTGATTCATTTATTGTGTGTCATGTTTTGCAAAAGTTTCCCCAGTTTACCATTCATTTGTTATCTTGGTTTCATACTATTTTTTAAATTAATTAATTTTTTTAACACAGCCAGACATACACCAATTCAGTAGTTTCTATGTGTACAATTTAGTGACATTCTTCTGAGTTCTGTACCTATCCTCCCTTCTTTTTCTGAGGTGTTCCTCCCTCATTCATAGTATTTTTTTATGTAGAAGTTTTTAATTTTTATGTATTCAGTTCATCCTTTATTCCTTGTCTTTTTCCTGTGAGTTCTGGCTTTAGTGTCATGTCGAGTTCAGCATTTTATATCAGAGCCAGTCAATATACATCATTTTACAGATTTTATTCCTCACCCCCACTCAGTGAAATTTTTTCTTAATATTCCTTTTGCTTCTTTTTTTCTTTTAACATACTGTGAAAATGCTGTTATTTCTCAGAATAAAATAGTAAACTTAGAATCATAATTTTTCTACAGCATCAAGTAGTGGGACCAGACTTCATAGAGGTTATGTAGAAGAAGCCACATTAGAAGACAAGCCATCACAGACTACCCATATTGTATTTGTTGTGCATGGCATTGGGCAGAAAATGGACCAAGGAAGAATTATCAAAAATACAGCCATGTGAGTTCTTTGACAAATACATTCTGTATCTGGTCTAGAATCCAAACTTTTGTCCAGGGTATAGCAGATAGTAACAGAGGATTTACTCATTCTACCAAATGTTATATCTCTTCAGTTATAGATAAGTTTCTGGAAGAGTAATTATAGCTAGATGATTTTATTGTTGTTTGTTTGATTTCCTCCCCCCACCCCCACCCCCCCCAACACACACAGTTTGGAGAAGGGAATAAGAAATCATTTTTAAACTTAGTATATTAAGTTAATTTATATTGAACTAAGGTTGAAAACAAGAAAAAGATCTAGTTTTAAGTTTGTATTTTACTCTCTGAACTACAGAAACAGAATACTGCAAAGTTGCATAACTCTGAAAAAGCTAAAAATTGTTTAAATTACCAGGTAGCAGCTTAACCTGTCCAATTAATTGCTACCAGAGGAAATTGAACAGTGGATGCTTTACCAACACATGCCAGGCAGGTTACTTACCTCATTAATTTATTTATACTCAACTTTATTCTAAAAACTGTTTAAGATATTATTGTGTGTGATTGTGTTTTACAGAAATGTAAAGGGTTGTGTTAAAAGGGAATATTAGGATATTAAAATTCCCACAAATTTCTCTCTGAGCTAGCAGCCAGTATAAAGAAAATTCTGATCAGTTACAGATTTATGATGTGATGAGAACAAACCAGTTGCAGGTGAGATGCACAGTTTATCTGACTCTGAGGTTTCAAATAAATGATTTCTTGAGTCGTTATAAGGCAACAATACATGCTACTGTGACCTATGTCCTCAACAACATCTCTATAATAATATGATTTTGAGTTTTGTTTCATTTTTTAGTGTGACATCCATAATGCTCGCTGATGGAATAAAGTAAAAGTGTAATTCATCTTAAACAAAAACCAAAAACATTTTGCCAGAGGCTGCCAGGCTACCCTGATCCTTGTCAATCTCCATAGCCCGTATTACAGGAATCGCTTCTCTCTGATCCTGATTTTTATTTTTTGATGATACTCTTCTGTCAGGAGGCAAGTTTTTTGCTTGGGTATCTAGGAACGTAAGAACTAGGTTTGGTGGCATGTTCTCTCTAGAGCCATTGATAAATGAGAATGTACCTGTTTGATTTGGGTTAGGAAAACTTAAGTCAAAAAGAGGATTTAGTAACTCAGTCTTACCCTATAATCAGGTGGGAGTTGACTTCATTACAACTGTTGAGAGTGGTATAGCCACAGATAAAAATCAAGAACTATTATTGAAAGTAGAGTGAATGAATGAAAAGTGGCTCAAAAAAAAGTTAAGGTCCACTGCAAGGAGGTTTCCCATCATTCCTTCAGAGTCAGGTTAATTTGATGGAAAATTCCCCATCAGATTTATATTCAGACAAAAAGGAATTCTGCTTAATAATAGGAAAATCAAAGGGATTTCCTACACTTTCCCTGCTTTCTGCTGTTCTTGAGTTAGTTGTCAGGACAATGAAGAAGGTAAAATTCATTTCATCCTTGTCAGTGCCATTCTGAAGCCTGTTTGTACTCGTGATCTGATTTATAAGAGTGCAGCTGAAATGAACAAGGTAATCAACTTTTGTTCCAGCAAAACATGATTATATTTACATGGGTTGAAAGTTTATAGACAATTTACTGGGAATATCATAATTGAGTTTCCAAAGGGATAAATATATCTGAAATACAATTGGATTTACTTATTCTGGAGTTTTAGTGCAAGGAAAATCGTCCTTGAAGTTATATATTTAATGCCATAAATTAGTAATTTTTAGGCTATGCTTTTTAGAAGAATATAGAGACTTTCAATTAAACATGGCAGGCCAGGCATATAAGCTTATCTTATTCCCTCCTGAAACCTCACTAAAAATGATAGCAAAGGAATTTTAAAAAGAAAAAAGGCATAAATCTATAAGTACAGAAAGAATGGGAGAAGACGCAACAGCAGACAGTGTCAAAAAGCTTATTTTTTTGAATAGGTAATCATTCACATTGTTCATAAATCAAGAAAATATAAAAATATATAGAGCAAAAAGTCTGACTTCCAACCTTGTTCCCGTCTTTTCCCTTTTAATGTTATTATATTCTTCCAGAGCTTCTTTAGACAAATGTAAATTTTTGTACACAAAAAGTGGCATAATATGCATACCGTCCTGAACCTTGCCTTTTTGCTTTAAAAAAAGTGTCTTGAAAATTATTACTCATAATTTCTATTTCCCTCCCTTCTCTCTCTCAATATTTTAGGACTATTAAGTTTATCAATTGATTTTTTTTCTAATTGAGGAAAATCAGAAGGACTTATTTTTTTCAGAGCTATTTAATTATCCTTAATTGGAAAGGAATTCTCAGGTGCTTTTAATCTCTTCCTTCCCATTTCAAAATATGAATTAAACATGCATTGCCCCGCAGGAGAACATGTAAGTTTAATAACCTTATAAACTGTTGCCAGCGAGTTGATTCCAACTCATAACGACGCTGTAGGACAGAGTAGAACTGCCCCATAGGTTTTCCTTTACAGAAGCAGACTGCTACATCTTTCTTCTGCAGAGCGACTGGTGGGTTCGAACTGCCGACCTTTCAGTTAGCAGCTGACCACTTAACCACTGTGCCACCTGTTTTGTGCATGTCAGTACAGCTGCACAATAATAGACCATAGTCTGAGCTGTAATAGAATGTTTTTAAATCATTCTTTTTTCTCATTTCTTCCGTTTCCCCATTGGTCTCTGTGTTTCTCATGTAGTCAAGACTGACAAACTTAGGAAATATATTTTACCATTTTTGGTAAGGCAAATTTTGGGGATGTAGCCACAAATCAGTCAGTCTCTCTTCCTCCCTCGCTACCATCTTTTTGTCTGTCCTTTTCTTCCCTTTCCTTTTATTTAAAATAGTCCCTCCGATTAATTACAACCAAGTGATTCAGAAGAACAACTAATTGCCTAATCAGCATCTACTTACGTGACCATGTCAAAATTATGATAGTGATCCTGTGGAATTGAGGATTGTATGAGTTTGCCCTGGAAAAGGACACTATTTTAAGCAAACGTAGTATTTCTGGGTTTATAACTCAAAATCAGAATTTCTTAACCTTGTCACTATTAACATTTTTTTGGCCAGATAATTCTTTGTTGTGGGGGGCTGTCATGTGCTTTGTAAAATGTTTAGCAGCATCCCTGGCCTCTCCCCAACTAGATTCCAATACAGTCCCCTAATTGTGACAACCATAATTGTGTCCATACATTGCCAAATGTCCCCTTTTTTGGGGGGGAGGGGGAATTGCCCACATTTGAGGATCACTAGACTAAATGAACTTTTTTTTTTTGGTAAATTCATTCGGTATCACACATACTACTATCTAATTTTTATACCACAATGAAATATATAAGTATTGTACAGCAATCAAAGATGAGTAGGTGGGTAGAAAAATATTAGAAATTTTAAATACATTCTTTCTTGCATATACTCATATTTGTCAAAAGTGAGCATTTGAAAAGATGGCAAGGAAGCTTAAAAAGTATATTTGTAACCATGATTTGAGTGTTTACTGTGAACAAGGAACTTTTAGGCTTTGTGGATAAGAAAGAGATCTGAAGTTTTCATCTTCAAGTGGATTTCAAGTCTGAAGTTTTGACTGTCATCGTTATATTGTGATGATAAGGGAAGCAGATTTTCTTTTTGGCAACCTAGAATCTGTTTAGACTTTTTAAATGGCAACTTTAGGGATATGCAATCAATAAAATGTAATTACCAGTATATTTTAAATAATGCCTTTTAAAATATGCTGGATATGAGGAAAGATAGACATTTTAATAAATAGTGTCGGGATAACTGGATAGCTATATGGAAAAAAAATAAAACTGAACCCATTCCTCACACTAGGATAAACATCAGCTGGATCACATTTAAATGTAAGAATTGAAACCATGCTGGTACTAGGGATTTAAAACATTGGTGGGGAGAGAGGGCAATTCTTGTGTACCTTGGGAGTAGAGAAAACTATCCTAACTATGACTTGATCCAGAAGCAGTAAGGGGAAATATTGATAATTATTATATCATTTTAAAAAATACATGCTGTGGCAAAAAAAGAAAGAGAAAAATATGTACAACTTTATATCACAGATAAAGGATCAGTATCTCTAATATATAAAGAATTCTTAAATAAAGAAAAAAGTGACCAACCACTCTGTAGAAAAATGGGCTAAGGATATAAATAGCCAATGCCAAGAAAAAGACATGCAAATGTCTCCTAACAATATGAAAAAGATGTTCAACCTTGCTTATAAAATGTATGCTAAAATTACAGACTGGAGGAATCCCCGAAACTGTGGCTCCCGAGTGCACTGTTAACCCAGAACTGAAACCATTCCCGAAGTCCACTCTTCAGATGAAGATTAGACAGGACTATAAAACAAAAAATAATACACGTGAGGAATGTGCTTTTAGTTCAGTCAAATATACGAGACCAAATGGGCAGCTCCTGTCCAGAAGCAGGATGAGAAGGCCGGAAGGGACAGGAACTGGTCAAGGGGACACAGGGAACCCTGTGTTGAAAGGAGGAGCGTGCTTTCACATTGTGGGGATTGCAACTAATGTTGCAAAACAATGTATGTATAGATCTTTGAATAAGAAATTAACTTGAGCTGTCAACTTTCCCTAAAGCACAATTAAAAAAAACAAAAACTCAAATGGAAGAAAAACACATCACCTCACAACTCATTTTGAACCTCAGGTATTTATTTAGATATCCTTATTTTGTTAACCCTGTGCCACTCTATTGTTAGTTTGTGAGCGTGTGTGTATTTTCCTGTGATTGAAACTAACTGGCATTATGCTACATGTTTATTTGCTTATTACATGTCTTGCCAAATAAAATGTTAGGTTCCACGGGGGAAAAAAAATTATACCAAGATACCGTTTCTTGGTTATCAGATGAGCAAAAAATTCAGATGTTTGACAGCGTACTCTTTTGGCCAAGCTGTAGGTAATAGGCAGTCTCACACTGATAGTGGAATGCAGTGGAAGAGAATGTGGTAATATCTATCAAAATTACATACATATTTACTTTTCAATCTAGCAAACCTAATACTTCTAGGAATCTGTCCCAAAGATAATATTAGCAAAATTACAAAGATATACATATGTATAAAGCTGTTCATTTCAGCATTACTTACAATAGAAAACTACCCAGTTATTCATTGGTAAAAGAATGGCTGAGTAAACTATGGTTATTATCCATATGATGGAATACTATGAAGCTATAAAAAGCAATGAGAGGGAGAGCTCTCTATATACTACGATAGTTCTTCTATATACTAGTGTAGTTCTATATACTTTATATTTTTATAATCTGAGAAACTGGACCATATGAAGAAGAGCGTGGCATCAGATTTGGAGGAAAACTCATTAACAACCTGCAATATGCAGATGTCACAACCTTGCTTGCTGACAGTGAAGAGGTTTTGAAGTACTTACTGATGAAGATCAAAGACTACAGCCTTCAGCAGGGATTACACTTTAACGTAGTGGAAACAAAAATCCTCACAACTGGACCAATAAGTGACATCATGATAAGCAGAGAAAAGATTGACATCAAAGATTTCATTTTACTTCCACAATCAACGCCCATGGAAGCAGCAGTCAAGGAAAAGTGACGTATTGCATTGGGCAAATCTGCTGCAAAAGGCCTGTTTCAACTATTAAAAAGCAAAGATGTCACTTGAGGGCTAAGATGTGCCTGACCCAAGCCATGGTATTTTCAGTCACCTCATATACATGCAGAAGCTGGACAATGAACATGGAAGACCGAAGAAGAATTGATGCATTTAAAATGTGGTGTTGGCAAAGAATATTGAATATACCATGAACTGCTAGCAGAATGACCAAATCTGTCTTGGAAGAACCACAGCCAGAATGCTCTTTAGAAGCAAGGATGGCAAGACTTCATCTCACGTACTTTGGGCATGTTATCAGGAGGGACCAGTCCCTAGAGAAGGACATGATGCTTGGTAAAGTAGAGGGTCATCAAAAAAACTATGAGCCTCAGTGAGATGGAATGACACAGTGAGTGCAACACTGTGCTCAAACATAGCAACAATTGTGAGGATGGTGCAGGACCGGGCAGTGTTTTGTTCTGTTGTACATAGGGTCGCTATGAGTTGGAACTGACTCAATGGCACCTAATAGCAACATGTTCTTTGTAAAGATTTTGCAAAATTGAGAAACCGTTAGCTAGACTGACATTTAAAAAAAAGAGAGAGAATACTCAAATTATTAAAACCAGGAATGAAAGAAGGGACATTACTACCAACCTTACAGAAATAAAAGTTATTATAAGAGAATACTATGAACAATTGTATACCAACAAATTAGATAAACTAGGTGAAATAGACAAATTCCTAGAAAGACAAACTACCAAAATGACTCAAGAAGAAATAGAGAATCTGAATAGACCTAAGACAAGTAAGGATTTTAAATCAATAATCAAACTTCACACGCCAAAACCCAGGAGCAGATAGCTTCACTAGCAAATTCCATCAAGTGTTTAAAGAAAAACTAGCACCAATTCTTCACAAACTCTTCCAAAATATAGAAGATGGAGGAAGATTTCCCAAATCGTTCTATGAGATCATTAGTACCAAAATCAGATAAAGACATCACAGAAAACTATAGACCAATATTCCTTATGAATATAAATGCAAAGTCCTCAACAAAATAACTGCAAACTGAATCCAGCAACATACATATAAAAAATGATTATACACCATGGCTAAGTGGGATTTTGTCCCTGGAATGCAAGATTGGGTCAACATATGAAAAATCCGTGAATCTGATCAAGTCCATAGATCTCACTACCAATTTACAAGAAATAAGGGACAAAGGAATACGTTAAATAACACCATAGGGATGCAGTCAGTAAAAGTCAGACTCTGGGAAACCATTGTTGTATGCTGTCAAGTAGATTACAACTCATAGTGACCCTAAAGGACAGAGTAGAACTGCCCTAAAGGGTTTCCTAGGCTGTAATCTTTATAGGAGCAGATCAGCTGATGGGTTCAAAGCACTGACCTTTCAGTTAGCAGCCTAGCACTTAACTATTGCTCTGCCAGGCCCCTTTGGGAAACTTTACAGGACCAAAAAAAAATTGCAAAACGTGAAAGAGGGGCAGGAAACTTGAAGGTTAAAATATGGTTAGAGATATCAACCAATTGTAGCACGTAGACTCTATTTGAATCTTAATTCAAATAACTGTAAAAAATTGTTTTATGTTATAAAATAACATTTATAATCCACTTCAGTAAATGGGGCCTCTGAACTAGATATTTGCTGAAATTAAAGAATTATTAACTTTTGGTGCAATAATAGTACTGAGTGAGTTACGTCCTTAGTTTTAGAAATATAAACTAAAATACACATGATGTGATGTCTGAAATTTGCTATAAAACATGGGGAGAGGATATGACTATAAAAGGAGAGCATGAGGGAGTTTTTTGGGTGATGGAACTGTTCTGTATCTTGGTTGTGTTAGTGGTAACCACAAATCTATACATGCGTTAAAATTCACATAAGTGATGCCAGAAGAAAAAAAAAAGTGAATTTTGCTATATCATAATTTAAAAAATAAAATTTAAAAATACATACTGTGGACAGAATGACTAGGACAATAGATAGAAATAAAACAGGCTATAACTTGCCAGTATTTAGAACTGGGTGATGGCACAATGGTGTTCATTATACTATTCTTACCTTTGTATGTATTTGAAATTTTTCATAATAAAAAATTTATATGTATAATTATTTATAATATAATGTGAAAATGTGGAAATTTTGAAATTCCTATATGGCAAATTTATTAAAATAATTTCAAAGTGAATGTATTCCAGTGTTGTAAACTATTGCTTAATGTAGCAGTAATTGAAATATAATTGGACAGAATAGAATGTTGTAAGCAAATGGAAGTGTTATGATTAAAGACATTTTATACTGTATAAATCCATGTACTAAATTACTCTGAAAAAGTTTTTTTTTTGTTTGTTTTTTAGGATGAGAGAGGCTGCAAGAAAGATAGAAGAAAAGCATTTTTCCAATCATGCAACACACGTTGAATTTCTACCTGTTGAGTGGCGGTCAAAACTGACTCTTGATGGAGGTACATTTTGTTTAAAAATTGAATGATTTAGCCAATTAAGGTAATGCGGAAAATTTTACAAAACAGTTTTTACTCACGGGGAACAAAACGTCTTCAATTTAGTTGTCTTGAGGTATACTCTTTATTCTAGATTATTTAATAAAAATTGTTGATTTAAAAAATAATTTTATTTACTTATGTCATTTTGGTCCACCATATAGATTTCACAGATACTACTGTTTTCATGAATGTCTTTTATGGATACTTTTGGGGAGGCAGGGGATAATGGGGAGGGACCAAAATGTTTTCTAAATCTTTTGACAGAAAAGTGATTTGTCAATACTGTAAAAAAAATTTGTCCACAATTCCATGTAAGTTTACATTTTCTTCCTAATAGTTTTCCTCCCTGTGCTTGGAGATAAAGCCTCAGGGGTTTAATTTTTGTTTGTTATCTGACTTTTGCATTCTCTGAGTTGGTGACTCATAAACTAGCAAAGGGAAATTATACATATGTATTTAAATAAAACCATTTTTGTTTCATTCCTCAAAGAGCTGATACCAACCAAACTATACATCTCTTTTTACAGAAAGTTGTGTCCTCTGAATATTAAAACCACTAAAATAGAGAATGTTTAGGTTAACTATTTACATAATCTGGAAAATGAGGGAGTCTACTGGACATACTAGCAGCTTCCATGTGTAGAGCCTCCACTGTGGGCCCGGCACACTGGTGTACATTTTACATGGATTATCTCATTTAATCTTTTCACAAACGTATGAAATACTTTATTTTCTCCATTTTACTGATGAGGAAACTGAAACTGAATAAAAAGTGAATTCAGCTCAACTAAGAATAGCAGGCAAAATCCAGGTCTGTATGATACCCAAGCCCATCACAGTGCTAAGCTGCCTCCCTGAATGATTTCCAAGACTCCTTCCAGACCTGTGATTCGATCTCAGTAGTTTAAATCTAACAGAAAATTATGAACTCAGGAGTTTTGTTAAATATTAAGTCATTCATTTTGTCCATATTCCTGAGGAGCCTAAGAAATTTATCTGGGTGGATGAGAAAAGCCCAAAGGACAGTGGTTTAATTACACTAGAACTTTACATATGAACTATTGTTGCTGAGACCTCTTCTTTGGTTGTTAGCAATTTTTTTCACTCATTACAACTTATGATGCTGTTTGGATTTGATAAGCTGCAGGTGACACTCTTAATTCATGCATTTGTCCCATTTTAGATTTTTTTATGTTATTGTGGTGAAAATATACACAGAACACTTGTAATTCAACAGTTTCCACATGTACAATTCAATGGCATTGATTACTTTCTTCATGGTGTGCAACCCCATCAGTATCTTTTTCCTAATTATTCTACCACAGTAGCATAAACTCAGTGTCTCCCAAGCAAAAAACACCCTCTTTCTCCTTACTTCACAACCCTGGTAACTACTAATAATCTTTGGTTTCTGTATATTTGCTTATTTCCTATTTGTGAGATCATACAGTATTTGTCCTTTTGTGACTGACATATTTTGCTCAGTATGTTTTCAAGGTTCTTTCATGTTGTGGCATGTATCAGGACTTCATTTCTCTTTATGGCTGAGTAATATTCCATTGTATGTATATACCACGTTTTGTTTATCCATTCATCTGTTGATGGACATTTAGGTTGTTTCAACCTTTTGGTTATTGTGAAAAGTGCTGCAATGAACATTAGTGTCCATTTTAGATGATTTTTGCACAGTTAGAATTTTGCCTAAGTCAAGAACCAAGGACTTCTAGTTCTGAAAACATTTCAGACTAGATGTTCAGAGACACCTCTTGTGCATCACCTTGCCTGAAAGTACTGGATAAACTATATATTTTTTTAAATTCTTTTTTCCATTTAAGATTGAAATTATGGTAAAGAAATTTCTTTCAGAGTGCTGTGTCAGAGAATTAAGCAAGCCCAGAATTATTTTTTTTTCCCTTGAGGGTCTGAGTTTAATAAACCACCAGCACAGGGAACAGAAGACAAAGCCGGTGGCCTAGGCATGTTCAGAATTCGGATTAGAGACCCCAGTGTAAGACTAGGACACCTGCAAGGTGACACCTTCAATGGGTGTAGTAGGAAAAAAATCCATCCCACAATGGATGACAGTAAAGATATATGCTTCATTTGGTCTTGGATCTTGGGGGGACAAGAAAGAACAGAAAAATATCTGAGAATTCCTAATGGTAAGCTTGCATTTACTTGGATTTACTTGGATCAGAATCTTCCTACCTGTGTGTAGGGGGACAGAAAGCCAAATACTATAAAATGGTCACAGATGGTTACATCCTTAGGCACCTGGCAGAAGCAAACACAGATCCTTCAAGAACACATTTTAAACTCAAGCCTCATAGATTTTCTGTAGATGAGATTCCAAGGAGCATGAATTCATAACTGAACAACATAAGAAAACAAGTCACTATGAGCAAGAGTCTATAGAAACTACAAACTATATAATCTGATCTGCAGAGCCCACATATCTTGGGTTATCAGATACAAAAGATATATTTAATGTATTTAAAGAGACATTATTATAAAAGAATCCATTCACCAAGAAAACATAACAATCTTAAATGTATATGCTCCTAATAATAGAGCCTCAGAATACCTGAAGCAAAAACTCACAAATCTTAAAGGAGAATTGGACAAATTTGTAATTCTGATAGCATACTTTTAACACTCCTGTCTCAGTAATAGATAAAAATTAACAAGGTTATAAAAGCACTGAACAACACCATCAACCATCTAGGTCTAATTGATATCTATAGAATATTCTGAATACATATTCTTTTCAAGTGCACATGGAATACTCACTAAGATAGACCTATCCTGCATCATAAAATAACCTTAATAAAACTTAAAAAATTGAAATATGCGAAGTGATTATCTAACAATAACGGAATTAATCTAGAAATCTATAGCAGAAAAATAACTGGTAAATCTTGAAATACTTGGAAGTTAAATAGCACACTTCTCAATATTCCAGGGTCAAAGAAGTTAAAAGGGAGATTAGAAAATATTTTGAGCTGAACGAAAATGAAAATAGAACATATACCATGAGACTAGAAGAACTAGATGTTGCCCAGCTACCACTGTCAACTGCTCTGACTGGGATCATGGTAGAAGATCCCAGACAGAGCGGGAGAAAAATGTAGAACAAAAAAACCAAATACATTAAAAAAAAAAAAACAAAAACAAAAAACCAGACCTATTGGCCTGATAGAGACGGGAGGAACCCCCAAGACTGTGGCCTTAAGATACCCCTCTGACTTGGAACTGCAGCCATTCCCAGAAACCACCTTCCAGCAAGCAATAGACAGGCCTATAAAATAAACAGTAACACCTGAAAAGAACATGCTCCGTAGAACAAACAATTATACGAGACCAAAAGGGTAACATTTGCCCAAAAGTAAAGATGATAAGGCAGGATCAGGTAGGAAAACCAGACGAAAGGAAATGGGGAACCCAGGGCAGAAATGGGGAGAGTGCTGACACAGTGTAAGGATTGCAGCCAGTGTCATGGAACACTTTGTGTACAGTTTGTTGAATGGGAAACTAATTTGCTTTGTAAACTTTCACCTAAAACACTATAAAATATTTTTTTAAATACAACATGTAAAACCTTGTGGGAAATACATGGTATTAAGTGCTTATATTAAAAAAGTAAAATGTCTCAAAGCAGTAAGCGTCCATCTTAAGAAATTAGGAGAAAATATATATGTCAAAATAAACCCAAAGCAGGCAGCAGAAGGATGAAAATCATAAAGAACAAGAATCGTTTAAATTGAAAACAGAAAAACAGTAGAGAAAATAAATGAAACCAAAAGCTAGTTCTTTGAAAATATCAATAAAATTAATGACTCTCTAGGAAGAGTGTTCATGGAAAAAAAGACACAAATGACCAACATCAGGAAATTAAAAAGGAGTTGTCACTATAGACCCCACAGATATTTAGAAGATTCCATTTATATGACACTCTGTAAAAGGCAAAACTGTAGGAGTAGAGAACAAATCAGTGGTTGTCGGTGGTTGGAGGGTAGGGGATAGTGGCCTAATCGTGATAGTGGTTACTCAATCTATGTATTTAAAAGGCAATTTTACTGTATATAAATTTTTTAAATAATAACAAAGTATATCTAACAAATATTTACGCAGACAACATCCTGCTCATTGGTAGTGAAAGGCTAAGAAAAGAACAAGCTAAGGATGTCTACTCTTATCACTTAAACTTTATACTTGAAATCTTGGCCAGTACAATAAGATAAGAAAAAGAAATTATAAGGATTGAAGAAGATATACTTTTATTTGCAAGTTACATGGTTGTCTACATAGACTATACAAAAAAACTATAGAAAAATTATTCAAATTAATAGTTTATCAAGGTTGTAAAATAGAGGATCTATGTATGAAAGTAATTACATTTCTACATACCAGAAGCAAACAGAAAATGCCATTTTTAAAGAGATACCAGTTATACTAGCATCAAAAAATATAGGGTCTCTAGAAATAAATCTAACAAAAGATGTATATTTTTATTAGAAATGAAAAAACTATTAAATACAACTTAAATAAATAGAAAGATACATTATTTTCTTAGGATGATTCATCATCCTAGAGATGTTGATTCTCCCAAATTAATCTGTAGATTCCATGCAATTCCAATCAAAATTCCAATAGGATTTTCCATGAAACTTGACAAGCTGATTCTAAAATAATTATAGAAGAGCAAAGGGCCAAAAATAACCAAGGCACACAAAAAAAAGGGGGCAGGGGATAGAGATGACAGTCATGTCCTACAGGAGAGCCAGACCTGTATGATTTAACTTCTGTAATTAAGGAAGTTTAACATTAGTACAGGGATAGGCAAAAAGACGGTTGCACCAGACTAAAGAGTCCCTAAACAGACCTGTGCATAGTTGGGAAACTTGATCTATGACAGAGGTGGCATTATAAATCGTTAGTAACAGGGTGGCCTGTTCCATAAAGGGTGCTGGGTAACTGGTTATCTTTATGGGGAAAAAAATGGAAGTGACCCCTACCCCACATTCCAGATATATCTAGGGCATAAATATGAAAGCCAAGACTTCTAAAAGTTTTAGAAGAAAATATAGGAGAGTACCATAAAGACCTCAGGGTAGGGAAGAAATTTTTAAACAAGACATGAAAAACACAACTATAAAGTAACATATGGATACATTTGATTAGATTGAAAGTAAGAAGTTTATCAGTAGACATCATAAAAAGAAAGACAAGCCACAAACTGGAAACAATGTTGCAGCAGATATAGGTACCAAAGGTGGTCTTTTACTGTTTTTTCTTGAAATATTTTCCAAGAAAGAAAGGTCCATTAGACCCAAAGCTAGCCTTGACTATTCAAATGTTGTTAACTTAAAGAGCTATTACTCAGGGAATGTAATTTTTTTCACAATTTATTTTTTCTCTGAAACAGAGATCTTTTGTAAGTTTAAATTTGGTTTTTGTTTTTTTTTTTATTTGTAGATACTGTTGATTCTATTACTCCTGACAAAGTACGAGGTTTAAGGGATATGTTGAACAGCAGTGCAATGGACATAATGTATTATACTAGCCCACTTTATAGGGATGAAGTAAGTATCATGATATTTTGTTGCTGATGGATATTTTAGAGTGATAGCATATAAAAGTCCTGAATTTTAAAAGCAAATGAGATATTATAGGCATCGATTAATCTATAAATACCCAGTATTTAATAGTGAATTTGATAGTCTTCAAACTAACATTGGGACCCTTAATAAAATGGATAGTCACAAGAATGGGAGGTGGGTTTGAAAATAGCTATTTGAAGAATATGAATTTTCTTATGTTTGATTATATCGATGATTATTATCCTCACAACAAAGTTTTTGGCACTTAGAAATTTCCTTCAAGTTTTTTTCCATGTAACAGACTTTTATTGCCTCATTTCTGTAATGGGCTTATATAGTTCTCAAATGGTAGCATTACTGATGCAACCCTGAAGGAGTTGAGGGGTGAAGGTTTATTCAATAGAAAGAGAATCTCTACCAAATGCATTCTGTCACTTTATTGGTAAGAGAAAAGGAATTCTGTTTCATAGGAATAACTAATATTTGTTAATTGCCTAGCATGTATGAGCTTGTTTAATCTTCATAAAAACCCTGTGAGGTGTAGATATGATTACCATCCTCATTTGACGGATGCAGAAACTGGTACAAAGAGAAATTCAAGATGGTTGCACCAGACTAAAGAGTCCCTAAACAGACCTGTGCATAGTTGGGAAACTTGATCTATGACAGAGGTGGCATTATAAATCATTAGTAACAGAGTGGCCTGTTCCATAAAGAGTGCTGGGTAACTGGTTATCTTTATGGGGGAAAAAATGGAAGTTAAAATGGAAGGAGAATAAAAAAAACAAACAACACTTCTCCAGGTCTCTCTGCTTGAAATTCTGATTCAGTGGGTCTGAGATTGGAACCTGGGAATTTCTATTTTTAACAGTTCCCCAGGAATACCATCAGGGAAGTTTGGAAAACACTGCTTCAGGCATTGTAAAGAACAAAAAGGAGCAAAAAAAAAAAAAAAGTGAGAGGTGTGCAAAAATTGTTCTTATTTTCAAAAAAGGAAAGTTCATTCTGCAAATTAAAGTCCTTTTAGGTTAGTGTTAGGCAGTATTCTAGAATAGATTATTTAAAAGCCTGGTGTATGTTTTCTTAGAGAACTAATGATAAATAATAGCCAGAATGTCTTCATTAACAGTAAGCCATGCCTGGTGAATGAACCTCATTTAGTTTTTTTTAATAGGCGTATAACTTTGGTAGAGCTGGGAAACTTTATACCCCAGCGCATCTGGCTGCAGGAGAAAGATGTGGCAGCCTGCTTCCATAAAGATTTAAAGCCTAGGAGGCAGTTCTGCCCTGTCCTGGAGGGTTGCTGTGAGTTGGAATCAAATCAATGACAATTGGTTTGGTTTTTGGTTAGCACATCTGGATTTGAGGCAATGTCCCATGATATTCTTAAGGATGGTATGGGGAGAGGCAGACTAACAAACTAAGAGAGTCCTTTTTTTTTTCCTCCCTTTTCTATCTGAGGCTTTGGTGTCAAATTCAAACCTGCCACTTAACCAGCTGTGTGACCTTAGATCAAATTTCTCACCTTCTCAGCTTCCTCACTTATAAAATGGGGATAAAATATGGATAAAGGTTGTCATGAGGATTAAAGATAAAATGTATATAAAGTTCCCAGTACAATTTGTGGTCTTGAGTAAGACACTCAAGTTGTGATTATGTATATGGTCTCTGTCTTTACATATTCCAAGGACAATCATGTTTAAAAAAGGATGGGGAGAGGATTCTTACTCTGTTAACTCTAAAAATAAAATGAAGATTAGTGAATAGAATATGGGAAGGAATATGTATATTTGTTTACTATAATAAAGAACTTTGTAGTAACTAGAGCTGCCTAAAAAATAGAGTTGGCCTCTTTAGAATGTGTAACTCACTGGAGAAGACACTATCAGGGGTGACACTAGAGGAATTTCTAGCTTCATAGCTAATTAGTGATTGTGCTAATAATTACTAAAAAGCCATGGTTTGGGAAAAAGTTTTGTGTATCAGTCAGTACTTCTCAGGTCAGACTTTCTGAGGATGAGTTGAAAAAAAAAGATTCCTAATTATCAAGAGATTATCAGAGAGCCTTTGGCTCTCTGTTGTTGTTATTGTTAGGTGCCATCCAGTCAGTTCCAACTCATACATAGTACCCCTGCTTACAACAGAACAAAACACTGACCAGTCCTGTGCCGTCCTCACAATTGTTGCTATGTTTTAGCCCAGTATGCAGCCACTGTGTCATTCCATCTCGTTGAGGGTCTTCCTCTTTCTCGCTGACCGTTTACGAAGTATGAAGTCCTTTTCCAGGAACTGGTCCCTCCTAATAGCATGTCCAAAGTACATGGGACGAAGTCTTTCCATCCTTGCTTCTAAGGAGCATTCTGGCTGTGCTTCTTCTAAGACAGATTTGTTCATTCTTATGGCAGTCCATCGTATATTTGGTATTCTTTGCCAACACCATACTTCAAATGCATCAGTTCTTCTGTCTTCCTTATTTATTGTCCAGCTTTTGCATGCATATGAGGCAATTGAAAATACCATGAGTTGGGTCAGGCGCATATTAGTCCTCAAGGTGACATCTTTGCTTTCGAACATTTTAAAGAGGTCTTTTGCAGCTGATTTGCCCAACGCAATATGTCATTTGATTTCTTGACTGCTGCTTCCTTGGGCATTGATTGTGGATCCGAGTAAAAGAAAATCCTTGACAACTTCATTCTTTTCTCCATTTTATCATGATGTTGCTTATTGGTCCAATAGTGAGGATTTTTCTTTTACGGTGAAGTGCGTGATGGTTAAGATCATGTGTCAGCTTTGCTAGACCATGATTTTCAGTGTTTATATGTGATCACTCCCATTGTGGGATCTGCTGTGAGTAGCCGATCAGCTGAAAGGGAGTTTCCTTAGGCATATGGCCTGCATCCGAATATAAACAGGTGTTCTGGCTTTTTGCTCACTCTGGATCCTGTGGCTGCCTCCTGTTCGTCTGACCTCTGGTTCTTGGGACTTGAGCTATCAGCTTATCTGCAGATCTTGGGAATCATCGATCTTCACAGCCTGTGAGCAAGAGTCCTGCTTTGTGACCTGCTGATCTTGGGTTCACCAGCGCCTGCAGCTACGTGAATGAGGAGAAGCCTCTATCCTAATCCATGGACTTGGGACTTTCCAGCTTCTACAATCGTGTGAGCTGTTTCTTTGATGTAAGTCTCTCTCTATATATATACGCTTTACTGATTTTGCTTCTCTAGAGAACCCAGCCTAAGACAAGTTGTAATCCATACTGAAGACTTCCAGATCTTCATCAGTAAGTGCTTCAAGTCCTTTTCACTTTCCACAAGTCAGGTTGTATCATCTGCATATTGCAGGTTGTTAATGAGTTGTCCTCCAATCTTGATGCCCCATTCTTCTTCATATAGTCCAGCTTCTCAGATTATTTGCTCAACATAGAGATTGAATAAGTATGGTGAGCAAGATCCTCTATCTTTGTTGAGTCTCTTTCTAATTGTTCTGTTCTATCATCAAAACTGGTGTGTTAAAGTCTTTTACTATTATTGTAGAACTGTGTGTTTCTCTTTTCATTTCTGTTTGTTTTATGTATTTTGGAGCTCTGTCATTGGTGCATAAATATTTATTATGATTATGTCCTCTTCGTGGATTGACCCTTTAATCATTATATACTGCCCTTCTTTGTATCTTGTAGTAAAAGTCTATTTTATCAGAGATTATTATTGCCACTCCTGCTCTCTTTTGGTTACTGTTTCCTTGATATTTTTTTTCCATTCTTTGATTTTTAGCGTATTTATGTCTTTGTCTGAGGTTTGTCTCTTGTAGGAAACATATTAATGGGTCATTTTTTTAATCCATTCTGCCACTCTCTGTCTTTTGACTAGTGCATTTAAACCATTTACATTCAATGTGATTATCGATAGGTATGAATTTATGCTACCATTTTGCTAGACTTTTTTTTTTTTGATGGTGGTGGTAACAGTTTCATTGTTCCACTTAATTTTCTGTGCTGAGTTCTTTTTATTTATTTTCTTTTCCGATTCTTCATTGTTGATTTTGTGTTTACTGAGTCTTTTTGATTTTCTTCTTTATTTTGGTGAGTAGGTTTTTAAATTTTCTTTGTGGTTATTTGGAAATTTACCTTATCTTCCTAAATTTGGAATAGTCTATCTTGATGTCACCTTCAGTTTTACAGCTTTATTTTACTTTTGAGAATTCTTTATGTGGATTGGTTAGCTGGATGATGCTATCATGTGTCTTAATCTCAGGTTGTCTGATGTCATTGGTTCTCTGTCCAAAAGACTCCCTTTAATATTTCTTATAAGGTTGGTCTGGTTTTTATAAATTCTCTTAATTTCTGTTTTATGGGGAATGTCCTAGTTTTGCCATCATATTTGAAAGACGTTTTGCTGGATATATGACTCTTGGTTAGCGGTTGTTTTCTTTCAGGGTTTGGTATTTGTCATACCATTACCTTCTTGCCTGCATGGTTTCTGTCAAGAAATCAGCACTTAATCTTATTGGTGCCCCTTTGTAGGTTATATTTTGTTTTTCACAACCTGCTTTCAGAATTTTTTGTCTTTGGTTTTGGGAAGTTTGATTATAATATGTCTTGGTGTCTTTCTTTTGAGGTGACTGTCCTATATGAGATTTGTTGAGCTTCTTGGATGGAAACCTTTTCATCTTTCATGATATTAGGGTAGTTTTCTGCCAATAAATCTTCAAAAATTCACTCTGTGCTTCTTTTTCTCCTCTTCTTCTGGAATTTGTATTATGTGTAAACTATTCTTCTTGATAGTGTCCCACATAACTCTAGGCTTTCTTCACTTTTCTGCATTCTTTTTTCTGATTGTTCCTCAAGCAAATTAGTTTCAAGAGATTTGTCCTCTATTTCACTGTTTCTTCCATTGATTCATTTCTACTTCTGTGTCCTTCCATTGAGCTATCTATTTCTGATATTTTATTGTTAATCTTCTGGATTTCTAGTTGTTTCTGCATGA